CAAGAGGAGGTTCAGAGGCGTGGCTTCAAAAGATTATCCTCAGACTCCAGGGCAAAGGGGCTTGGTTAATACCCATCTGTTACTCCTCCCACACCTCACTCTGGAAACAGAAAATATCTCCCACCCTCCAAGAACACATCCTATCCAATAACCAACCCCCACATAAGCAGGAATTAATACCAAACAAAAGTAAAGCAGAAAACAATACCCCAATCAAGGAATTAACAAGGAGAGAAACTCCCCCCACCAAGGTAGTGTTTATTAACAGGGAGCAAACCCCATACTCGCTAGCACTGATGATGTTATCTAATCAGATATTGAAATGTCTGTGAGCAAACAACCAAGCTTAGAGAGCACCAAGGACTCCATGATATATTTAAGCCCTGTATTCCCTAATGTAATTTTAAAGTTAACTGTTCTTTCATCCAATAGCCAAATTGGCTCCCTTGATAATAAAACTGTATTTTTGCTACAAAGGAATCTGTTATCTGCAACGTTTTCCAATTGCTACCACCTTTTCGTTAAGCGTTATGCAATCTAATGATGAAATGTGTCATCATTTCAATCTCTTTAAGTCAACTGGGATGGGGTGGGGTGTAGATTACAACCTTTACATGTTTCATAACACAAGGGAAATATCTATGAAAGTAATTATTTCCTCAAATTACTTGGTAAAAAACAAAGTATGTAGCTCAATCAAATTCAGTTATTCAGAAATACTGTACTATAGATTCAACTGAGTGCAAGAGAGCTTACATCCCAGCAGGCATATTTTGTTTCTAGCATTTGAAGAAAAAAGCCATTAAATAATAATTTTGCTTACTGTTAAAATGAAGATATAAATATTTTCATTCAAATATTCTAAAAGTGCATATTGTGCAGCTGTTGAAAATCTCTTTCACATTTTGAGCAGCAAAAGCTTCATAGAAGAAATAACTTGGAATCATCAGAGTCTACAGAATAACTCTGGAAGCATCTTAACACCAAAGCCAAGACACTCTTAAAAAAACAAAACTACACTTAATGCTGAATTGTTCTTAACAGTAATGGCAACTGATTTTATGGCTTTTGACTAAAGGAAACTGAGGTATATCTCTGTCAAAAGATGCCAAAACAAAAACCCAACTACCAAATTATATCGTAGAGAATTGCACATAATAAAAAGTTCATCTCAAATAGTGGCACCCAAAGGCATTCAACTTACACTGACAAATTTGTTCCTCCAAATTTGCTAGCAATGTGAACATTACATATTTTGGTCAACACTAGCTCTTCATTGATATAACTTTCAAAATGTTGTCTCTCTCTCTCTCTCTCTTTAGAAACTTCAGTCAGCCTTTCCTAGCTAGACTCTTTCCAAAATGTAGACGATGTGACTGCCCTTCTGGATAGCTGCCTTCAAAATGCGATCAGCTGTAGGGGACCTTTGACAAAAAATATGCACATTTTAACTCCATGCACATAGAAGAAATCCAGCTAGTAGTGGAAACAAGTTCACCATCAGTAGCCATAGTGTTATTACCAGGCTGGGAGAACAAGAACAGAGATCTAGAATAGAAGAAAATAGTACAAAGATGAGAAAAATAGTAATTGTACAGATACTTTTCATGTACTTTTAAGAGCATTTAAAATATTATCTCCTGCCTCTCAAAAAGTGTTAGAATTTGAGATGCTTCAGGTATTTAGGAATTAATTTATCAAATGAAAGACTGGAAAAAATCATAATAGACTGTGTGAATGTGTCAAATATTTAGAACAATGAAGAATAGCTACAATAGTTCTTATCCTCTGCCTAAGTGATTGAAGCGTATGTCATTATTTCTATTAAAATCAGAAATAAATATAATTAAATGGAGCAATTCTAAAAGTTTTTTTTCTGATTTTACTTACCAATCGATGCAACTCTTGTTAAATTGGCAACTGGAGGGGGATCTTGTTCAGGTGGACAGAAATCACAGAAATCCAAGCAGGCTGGGCAAATTAGATTCCCCATATGTAGCCATCCATTCATCTGAATAGTCACTGTGAGAATTTGACCTGAGTGACTGCACAAATATGCCACATCCTTGATCCAAACGGACAGTCCATGAGGAGAGCAAGAAACCTTTGGAATAAAACCAAATATGATATATTTACAAAGTACTGTATTTTTTTAACTATAAAATGCACCGGGGTATAAGACACACCTAGATTTCAAGGAGGAAAACAAGAAAAAAATAGTTTTTGGCCTCCGCATGTCTGGTTTTTGGCCTCCCCGGCTGCCAGAAGCATTCTACAGGCCTCCCAAACCCTCTCCGTGTCCCATTTTTGCAAATAACGGGCCCGTTTTCGGCCTCCCGAACTCACCATGCATCCCGTTTTTTTGCCCTCCCCAGCTCCCAAGAGTACTCTGCAGGTCTCCAAACACTCTGCTTGTCCCGTTTTCGCCAAAAACAGGCACGTTTTTGGCAAAAACCGAATGTATTGAAGAGGGTTTTAGGAGGCCAAAAACAGGGATGTATTCGGTCTATAAGACACACAGGCATTTCCACTCACTTTTTTTGGATAAGGAAAGTGTGTCTTATAGTCCAAAAAATATGGTAGATTGCATAAACTATTTCATTACAGAAGCTGCTTTTGAACCTTTCATGATGTATTTTGTTTCCGATCTCATTATATAAAGAAAAATGCAAAATGTATTGGCACTTTCCAAATAATTATTCCTAAGAACAATGATGAACCTGCTCTGTTTTTTCACATTATCTTCCACATGCATTTGGTGCAAGGTTTATGAAGGTTCAATGACTACATACATCTAAGTGAGAAGAAAATCTTTTATAAATTACTTAATCTGTAAATTTATAATTGTGTATTTTTCCTTCAGCACTCTTAGAAAAGTCTAGTCATATCACACTTATCTTGGTATAGAAAACATGTGACCAATAATTAAATTAATAATCTAATTATTTTAATGTAACAGAGTGTACAAAATGCAAAATTAAATTAAAATGTATTGCAGTTACCTGATAACAGCCACTACCCCAATCAGGATAACTCAGTTTCTTTCTGCACTGTTCCATAATGAAAGCTGACTTTTGAATGAGGCAAATGGAATTTGGCCCATATTTCTCTGCACCATAGTTTCTGAAAGGATCTACAAAACAATTTTCAGTTTTCTGCTAAAATCTATCAGATTATAGAGACAACAAAATTATCAAATTCCAAATTTAATGAATTTATATGCCGTCCAATCCCGAAGGACTCCAGGCTTACATAAAAACAACTCTAAAAAGAATACAAAAAATTTAAAATAGAGGAAAAGCAGGTTAAAAAACACATCATGCACTCAATCTTAGTGGGCTGGACCTTAAGCCTGCCGGAATAACCAGGTCTTAGTACACTTTCGGAAGGCCGAAAGAGTGGGGAGGGTCCGGATCTCTGGGGGTAGATCGTTCCATAGGGCTGGGACAGCTACAGAGAAGGCCCTCCCCCGAGGAGCCGCCAGATGACATTGTCTAGTTGACGGCACCTGGAGAAGGCCCATCCTGTGTGATCTTATCGGACGCTGGGAGTTATGTGGCAGGAGATGGTCTCATAGATATCCAAGTCCTAAGCCATGTAGGGCTTTAAAGGTGATAACCAGCACCTTGAAGCGCGTTCGGAGACC